TTGATTATCGTCTCTACTGTTCTACAAGACAGCATGGTGGGGATTCCTGTAGTTACTGTGATAGCCCCCTGATCCACTTAGATCCTGCCTTACTATTCTAACTCAACACTTTTCAGATTTTCATGTGCATGTATACCACATGTGTACATGGGTGTGTATAATGCTTGTATTGCACGGGCACACATGTATGTGGGTGTGCATGCATGTGGAAGTCACCTGGCATTTATGTGGGTTTTGGGCATCTGAACTCCTCTACCAAGAGAAGGGTGACATCAGGAATCATCTTCATTTGTTCTGCGGCTTTTTTCAAAGAGGCAGGGTTTCTCTATGGAAACCAAAGCTTAGTGATATGGCTAGTCTTGCTAGCCAGCTTACTCTGGGGATCCCTGTACCCACGTTCCCAGAATGGAATTGCAGGTGAACCACCATACCATTCTGGCACCTACAGGTGTTCTAGGGAATCTGAACTCCAGTACTCATGTTTGTACACAACCCATAAGCCATCTCTCCAGCCCACTCCTTCCCTTCTTTTCTCTTTGCCTTACTTTTCTTTAACGATTGTCACCAAAAGCTTTCTTCTCCTTAAGGATGCATGTTTCCTTTAAACAGTGTCTAAAGCTGGGCTCTTCAAGGCTTTAGTCACTGACTAGCAACCCGTGGCTGTAATTCAGCTTGGTGGGGGGGGGATCTCTTAATTGGGTTTGTTTTTCTCAGCCAGTTAAAGAATTAAAAGGCAGGAAAAATATCAAGCTCGAAAGGCACAAGCCAGAGTAGGCAGAATCAGGAGTTTAATATGGTCGCTAGAAAACTCGTACTGGGCTGATGAGGCAGTTCAACTGGTAAAAGTGCTTGTTACATGAGCCTGGCGACCTGCTTGATCCCCAGAACCCATGGTGGAAAAAGTTGGCCTCTGACTTCCGCGTGTGTACCAATGGCACACACACAATGCGTGGCACATGAGTGCCCCCGTGCATACCACATGCGTACACAAAGGTTATTAATAAAAATCTTTTTAAAACAAACTTTCTAGTAACATATGTGAGCCGGGTTATTTGGGGGGGGGGGAAGGGCTGGGATCACACCTGTAATCCCAGCCTTTTCTGATGGTTTGGTTTTTGAGACAAAGTCTTCGGTAGTTGAGGCTGGCCTTTAACTTGACGAGCAGCCAAGGATGACCTTGAGTTCCTCAAGCTTCTGCCTCTCCTCCCAAATGCTTGGATTACACGTGTGATGTGTGTATCACCACACCTACTTCATGAATAAAGACCTGTTGGCTGGGGGGGGTGCTGGAGAAAAACTGAGGTTAAAAGCACATACTGCTCTTACAGAAGTAGTTCAGTTCCCTGCACCCACACTTGGCAGCTCACAAGCACTCCAGTTCCAGATGATTCAGTGCCCTCTTCTGACCCCACAGGTACTCACATACATATCACACACAAAAATAATTAATTAATTAATCTTTAAAAAAAAAAAGACTACTTCCAGCCATCTTGCAGAATCAGAACTGAAACAATGTGTGATCAGAACACACTTTGACCAGGACTACTGAAGCCTCCTGTTCCCGCCTTTCATCCCCAATGCTTTCTCTACTAAACCCAAAAACTCATGGCAGGACCCTTGAAGCCAGACTTGGAGGACACACTGCATGCTTTTATCTCTTCCCATGGAAATGACTTGGGGTCACATGGAAGAAATCTCATTTCTTTGCTCCTCATTTCTTTGGCCACTGGTCTGTTCAGCCAGTGTACTGAGAGCCCAGCTTTTGCCCTTAAAATTCCTGTAGCAACTTCTTTCAAGATCCTTCAAGTCTGGGCAGCAATATTTGAGGTGGGACCACTGACTCTCAGGAGTATCCTTGGGAAGAGTCTGGGATACCAGCCAATAACTAGCCTTGCCAGCACTCACCATCCAAAGATGCATCTGTTCTCCTCCTATTCACCCCTCAGGATCCAGCTAACTACTTCATTAACACCTTCCTTGGTTGGACCATGTTTTCTACATTCTCTTTAGCTGACTGCATGAATTCAGAGTCAAGCCTATGACTGGCTAAATTACTTATTATCCCTTATCCCATATACTTTTTTTCTTCATGTTATTTTATCATTCTTTTTCTACTTAATAGAGAAAGACTCTTATCTAAGATTTTAAAAAAATGCTTCTTTAACCATGAAGCATCAAGAGAAAAGAAATCATCTTTGCACAATATTTCTCTGGAAGAATCCAGAACAACTTGGTAATCTGAACTCTAGGGATGAGAGTAAACTTTCAAGTACAGAAGCTAAATTGAGACATTCCTGGAATCTTTCAATCTCATATCATGGTTTTGTTTGTTTGTTTAAGAAACCATTTTCATTATGTAAAGTTTTTTTTTCGAGATTAGATTCCATTTTAGACGTTTCAAAAGCCTTTTCTTGCATTATACCTAATCAGCAATTGACAAGCTTTTCCTGCAAGGGACCCAGTGGCAAATATTTTACGCTTTTGGTCTCAACAACTATTCAGCTCTCCTTTCATATGAAGAAAGTTGCCATGGGCAAGCTGGGTGTGGCTAACAGCCAAGAAAACTACGAAACCGTGCCAAAAATGTCCTAAAGTATCAGATATTCCTTAATTTTCCTGTCTTCTCTCCCTCTCTCCCTCACATTCACTCTGTGATTTCACGGGAATAGAACTCAGAGCCTCTCATATGCTAGGAAAGTGCTTGGCCACTGGGCCACATCTCCAGGCCTACTTTTTGGTTTCTTTTCCTTCTTCCCTCCCTCCCCCTTCCTTCCTTCCTTCTTTCTTTCTTTCTTGGTTACTTGTTTTGGGGTTTTGATACTGTGTCATGAACCTGTGAGATGACTTAGAAGGAAAAGGCCCTTGCCTAACAACCTGAATTTGATCTTTAGAATCCACAGTAAAGGTTGACCTCCATATTTGTTATGGCATGTGTATGCCTGTACTCACACATGCATCATGCATGCACATACATGCATGCACCTGCACACATACACATACATGCAAATATAATAATAACAAAGTTTTCTAAATTACAACAAAAAAGTGAGACAGAGCATCATATAGCCCAGGCTGGCCTCCCACTTGCTATATAGGTGAAACTGGCCTTGAACTCCAGATACTCCTGCCTGTACCTCCCAAGTTCTAGAATTACAGGCATAGAGACCAGACTGATTCCCCAATCTCCCTCCCTTTCTAAAAATGTGTATGGGTGTTTCACCTGTATGTATATCTGTGTACCAAATGTCTGCCTGATGCCCAGAGAGGCCAGAAAAGGACATCAGATTCCCTGGAACTAGAGTTACAGATGGTTGTCAGTCATCGTGTAGGTGCTGGAGATCAAACCCAGGTCCTCTGGAAGGACATCAGTGCACTTAACCATTGAGCCATCTCTCCAGCCCCTGCTTCCCCATTCTTCAACAGACTAAAACAAATCTCAACTCAAGAGGTATGCTTAGGAGGGCTGGGAAAAGGAAAGTTAAGGCTGGGTGTGGTTCAGGAGTAGAGCACCTGCCTAGCATGCTTCAGGCTCTGGGTTCAGTTTCCAACACCACAAAAAGAAAATACAATAAAGAACAGAGGGAGAACATGGAATCCTTTATTCACTCAGAAAAGCAAAGTATTCTGAAAATGGGAGAAAAATCTGTGGGTGATAGCTCACACTTCTAATGCCAGCATTTGTGAAGTAGGGTTCAGTGCAGTTCAAGGGAAGAGTAAGACCATGACTAGAACAAACAAAATGGCCAAAACAAAAAGTAAAAACCAAATGACTATTTAAGGTCATGAAATCAATGATGTCTTCCTCTCTTTTGTGTATAAATCAGCAGAGCCAGCAAAGAAGTTCCTTCTAAGTAGAAAATTCCTTGCATTTTCTTTCATCTCTAGGCCTTAAAACAGTATACACTGCAAATTAACTAAACATATTGCTCTCTCAAACCATTAAATTCTCTGCAAAAGCAACCATCAAGACAAGGGGATCTCATCACGCTGGCCTGTACTGAGGTATCTCTAACTCAGAGAAGCCCTTCAGGACAGTGATGCAGCCTAGATAGGTCAGCTTTCTGGACCACTGGCTCCAACCTCCAGGTTCTTAGACTTTATCTTATGCTACAAAATGTTGTGCCCAACATACTAACTAAGAGCAGTCTTTCCAGAGGAAACAAAGCGACACAGAATGTCCATTTTCAAATGTTTCTGTTCCAAGAAAAAAAAAGATAGACAATCTAACTGTTCAGGCTTAAAAACTAGTTGCAGCTGGCCATAGTGACTCATATCTGCAATCCCAGAATTTAAGAGGTGAGGTTTCTAGAAGGATAATCTTGAGTTTGAGATCATCTTATAATGCACGGGATGTTCCAGAACGGCCTAACTAGAGTGTAAGAAAGCCCCTTCCCCCCAAAAAACCCAGCTGGGGTTGGTAGCAAGCACCTATCATCCCAGCACTTGGGAGGCAGAAGCAGGTCTTCTGTGAGTTCTAGGCCAGGCAGCACTCCATAGTGAGTCCTGTCTAAAATAACAACTAAATTCCAAAATTTCATCTGCCTTTTGTCATAAGAACTTCAATCATGAACTTAACAGTGAGAAGGGAAAAATATTTTTTTCTCCCATTCATGTCTCTGAGTCTCTCATCTCACTAGTACACCACCTATGACTCACAGAAGCTCAGCCCTCGGGGAAGCACAAGTGAGTCCAGTGCTCTCATATAAAAAAAATGCACACCTAAAAAAAAACCTCAACTAAATAGAAAATTCAAGTAAAAAGTATGTCGGCAAAAGTGGCCACTAAGATTGGAGATAACATTTTTTAAAGGGGTGGGGGCAGTTGGCGAGGTGACCTGCAGAAGAATGGAGTTCAGTTCCCAGCACCCACATAAGGGAGCTCACTAGCACCTGTAACTTCAGCTCCGGGGGATCTGATGCCTTCTTCTGTCTTCAACAGGTACTGCATAAATGTGGTGCGTGTATAGACAATCAGATGGGTGTGCGTGCATCTTTGAAAAGAAGGTGTAAGACTTTAAGACAATCCTGAAGCCATTTTTGACAATTCTGAATCCTCTCAGCCTCTGTGCCATAGTGCTTCCCCTCCTCCCCTGGGAACCAAGGACCTAACAGCTACACTTGCACGTACTCAGTTCCTGAACAATTACCCATATACGTATGCTTTGGTTCTGTCCCCTGGGAAACGAGGTCAAAATGACCTCTTACCTCATCTGATCTGGCAACAGCTCTCCAGTCAATTATTGGTAATAGCCCTTTCAAATAAGCCAATCAGAATAGTCAAAGAACAACCCCCCTTGCTTCTGTGGCCCCTTTAAAAGTAGACTGTACCCGCTATTCGAGGTCCCTCGGCTTCCCGAATGCTGGGGGACCCTGTCATGACAGAATTAATAAAATCCTCATGCTTTTGCATCGGCTGTAGTGTGTGAGATGGTCTCTGGGGGCGACTCCTTCTCGGTGTTTGGACGCCAGAGTCCAACAGTTGGTTCCCTGACCGGGAATCGAGTCGCTCCCAGACACACTCTAGACCCAGTTGGAGGTATAAAGAAACGAGCTCATTTTGATGTCTGTCTGTTTGTATATTGTGTTTCTGTTTCTGTGTAATATAAATTAGTAATCTGAGAATTGTACCTGCGCAGGGCTAGTATTTGAAGGGGACCAGGCAGTGGGACAGACGTGTCCGGGAACACTCCCTGGCCCAGCCATGGAGGACGCTTCACTGGCAATTTGTGAAACTAGGAGCAACTAGGTCATCTTAGTTTCTAGGGAGTGTGGCCCTTATTGCCCACTCCCTTCCAGGTTCGTATCAGTTTGTTGCCGCGCGGCTTCTGATTTTGAGTTTATGTCTGTCTTTTTGTTCTTGTGTATTTTCAGTTCTACACCAGAGTGGTGGTGAGAGCACCAGCTTCTGGTTTTGAGTTTATGTCTGTCTCTTTGTATTTTTTGTTTTTGTATGTCGGTTTGTCTTTGTTAAAATCCACCTGCAGGAATTCAGAACCTGGCACCGGCCCCCTGGCCATCATTAGTTTCCCTGATTCCGAAAGCAGCCCCACTGCTGGAGGAGATGGTGGCTGCCCCTCCCCAAGCCCTTTGTCTTCTCTCTTTCCTGTACAGGAGCAAAAGAAACCCAGAATCCAGGCACCTCTGGTTCTTCCTGATATCCAGCCGAGCATGACAGACTTCTCCCTCCTCCTCCCCTGGAGGAAGCACTTCGTTCCTGAGGAGCCCCGCTGGTCGGGCCCTAGCCCTGAAAACTTCGGTACTCAGCATCCACACTGGGACAGGGGAAGGATGAGAATGACTTCCCAAACATTTCCCCTTCACTCAGTAGCAGGCCAATTGCAATACTGCCTTTTTCTGCCTCTAATCTTTACTTACAACCCTTCCTTTTCTTGGGACCCTCAGACAGTGACCGGGCTTATAGAATCTGTTCTGGTTATTCATCAGCCCACTTGGGATGATTGCCAGCAGCTCTTATAGGTGCTCCTAACTACAGAGAAAAAAAGAATGTCCCAGGAGCTGACAGCAGGCCAACCCAATCACCGGACAAGAAAGAGGATGGGACTTCAATACTCCAGCTGGTAGGGAGCAGCTCCGTCTTTATTGCCAGAGTCCAGTTGGCTGGTCTAAAAAAAGGAGGGGGGGTTGCAAAACACCCCACTAATTTGCTAATTTGGCTAAGGTAAGAGCAAAGGTCTGATAGTACTCCTACAGGATTTTTAGAAAGACTATTAGAACGGGACAGGATGTAAACCCATTTTGATCCCATGGCAGCAGATCGCCAAGCCAATGTAATAATGTCTTTTATAGGCCAGTCAGCATCAGACAGCAAGTTGCAGAGAATGGAGGGGCTGCAGAGATGCTCCCTCCAGGACTTAGTAAAAAAAAAAATTAGACAGATAGGGAGGCAACAGAAGACGACAGCTGCAGAGACTGCGCACCTCAGACAGAGCAGCCCCTGAATGGCCAAATGCAGACTTCAGTGAGGAGTGGCCCTACAGGACTTTGGGCTCGAGACACTCCCAAAGCAGCTGCTGAGCAGAAGCAGGTCGGAGAACGGCGCCAAGCACAGCCGGCTACTGAAGCGGCACTCTGCCCACCTGAGAGGCCAACGCAGCAGCCACAGTGATAGTACTGAAATTCCCCCCCCCTTGCTTATGCTGTGCACCCAGGTGTTCGATTCTGGGGTGTACGGAAAAAAAGGGGGAGGGGTTACCCCTCGCTATATCTAAAGCATTTGACTATGGACACAAGAACTGCTGATTATTCCTGAATGTCCCACGCTTTTATTAAAAAAAGACCTGTTGGAGACTTTGATTTCCCCTACTGTTCTCCAGGACTGTAAAGAAAAGCAGGCTGCTCTCTGCCTTCGCCATGCCCACCTTGCTGAGGAAGGCTTTGCAGCCACTGCCGGCTGAATCCTCCCAGCTGCCTTGGTCACAGCCCAAGCCTGGGAACTCTGCTTACAGCCACCTGCCCCCGCAGGTAGCAACTGACTGAAGCGAGGAGGGGCCCGGGAGGTTCCGGAGCCCAATTCCAAACAGCGTTCCCGAGCTGCTTGCAAGTTTCACAGAGAACAACTGCCCCCAGCTCCCAGACCGCAGCTATGGAAAGCTTGGGGTTCAGCAATGCCCAAGCAGAGCCGGTTTTGATGGCGCATGCTGGTAAAAAGGCAGGGCAGCAATGGTAAATGACCTGAGCAGTCTACTTAAAGGGACATCACCTGGATGGCAGAGAATCTTTTTCTTACCAGGACTATCTTGCAGCCTGGATCCATGCATCTCACGTCAAGCCTACACCTCCACAGGACGACCCAGGACCTTCCAAATGAAAGTTTCAGTGTACCCAAAATCCTCTCAAGGAGGCCTGGTTCTGCCAGGCTTGCTGATCTTTGCCCTGATGTTTATACCTTAGGACTTAACCTGGACCATGACAAACTTTGAGACTGGGCAAGCCTTAAGGCCAGCCACTGGAGTTCATCCCCTGAATACCTGGTTCCCCCAGCTAACTTTTGACCTGTATGTTTTAGCAAAAGCCTCTTGGGAGGATACTGAGCAAACCCCTGAAAACTTTTATCCTGTATGCAAATATTCTAAATGATATGTTTGTCCGGGGAGAAAAACAATATGGGGGGGGGGCTAAAATATTTTATTGTGCTGCCTGAGGATGTAAAACCAATGTCAATGTCTCCTGGTTGAGGGTTAATGAAAAGGACTTAGTCTCTTTCACCCATAAATAGTAGGGAATAGACTCATCTGGCAGTTTATTGATCTATGATGGGCCTACAACACTGGTTTGTTAATCTCTGTGTACAGATCCAATTGGTCCTCCAAATTTACTAATATCTCAAGATTGAGATATTTGACCAAATAAGAGGAGGGAATGTAAGACTTTAAGACAATCCTGAAGCCATTTTTGACAATTCTGAATCCTCTCAGCCTCTGTGCCATAGTGCTTCCCCTCCTCCCCTGGGAACCAAGGACCTAACAGCTACACTTGCACGTACTCAGTTCCTGAACAATTACCCATATACGTATGCTTTGGTTCTGTCCCCTGGGAAACGAGGTCAAAATGACCTCTTACCTCATCTGATCTGGCAACAGCTCTCCAGTCAATTATTGGTAATAGCCCTTTCAAATAAGCCAATCAGAATAGTCAAAGAACAACCCCCCTTGCTTCTGTGGCCCCTTTAAAAGTAGACTGTACCCGCTATTCGAGGTCCCTCGGCTTCCCGAATGCTGGGGGACCCTGTCATGACAGAATTAATAAAATCCTCATGCTTTTGCATCGGCTGTGGTGTGTGGTCTCTGGGGGCGACTCCTTCTCGGTGTTTGGACGCCAGAGTCCAACAAAGGGAACTGGAGGGCTATGGAGACGACTCAGTGGGTCTGCTGCACAAGCCTGAGGCTCTCAGTTTAGATAGCCCCGCACAGCAGGGTGCAGAAGCACGTGTCTATAATCTCAGCACTGGGAGAGGGGCAGAGGCGGGCAAATCCGGGGAGGGGGGGGTCCTGGCTGTTCAGTCTATTAAAATGAAATGCTCTGTGTTCAGTAGAAAACGGACTCAAAATAAAATAAAGTAGAGAATTATAGAGGAAGCTGCCTGGTGTTGACCTCTGGTCTCCACATGAACACTCACAGGTGAGTGTAGCTACACACACGTGTGCAAACACATATAAACCACACACAAACATACATGTGCACATGCACGAGCAAATGCAAGGGGAAATGGAAGTGGAAAAAACTGAACAAAACAAAAGTCCCTTTAGCTTTGATGGGGTCGAAACTTCAATAAAGTGTAGGTTGACAGAAAGCAGATACGGTCACTCAAGCAGATTTGTAACCAGAGACTTAAGCTAGAGGCTGGACTCAGGGCTTCCAATAGCAAGGTCCAGACACTCCAGAGACAAGAAAGGAGTTTAATCAAAATGAGCTTGTGCAGCTAATCCCTTTCCTTGGGAAGATGTAAACAAGGACTACCCTCTCTCCTAAGGTCCCAACTACAAACCCAAGCACGAGTCTGTCAAAGTTCGCTTTAGGGAACGAATAAGTTTATTGGACTTCCTTACAGAGCATAGATGAGGGGTTACTTACAGGGAGGGTGTGTGGGCGCTCCTTCGCCTGAAGGCTGCCTATGAAAAGTCTTTGCCCAGCAGGGACGAGTGCTTCCCCACAATCACTGCCGGAGGCTCTCCTAGGTTTCCTTGCCCTGTACATTCTACCCCCTTACAAGAGATAGTAGGTAACAGCTGGAGACTTGGGTGTGGGTCTTCTGACCCTCCCCACTCCTCTGGGAGGGTGTGTAAACAGTCAACAAGCCCAGCTGGCTTGCCAGGGGGTATATCTGAACTGCCAAAGATGGCGGTTGCTTGGCTTAGAAGACCCACAGCACACTGAGAAAACATAATATAAGAAAGTCAGCCTATTTTCATGGCATTGGCAATAGAGAGATGGGTCTGGGCAAGAGGCATAATTAAGAAGTCCTGTTCAGCTGGGCGTAATGGCGCACACCTTTAATTCTAGCACTAGCAAGGCAGAGGCAGGAGGATCTCTGTGTTTAAGGTCAGTCTGATCTACGTGATGAGTTCCAGGATAGTTAGGGTATCTTAGTTTGGGTTTCTATTGCTGTGAAGAGTGACCATGGCAACTCTTAGAAAGAAAACATTTCATTGTGGTGGCTTGCTTACAGTTTCAGAAGTTCAATTCATCATCATCAGGACGGGAGCATGGCAGTGTGCAGGCAGACATGGCACTGCCTACATCTTGACCAGAGGGCAGTGCTGTGTACTGGGCATAGCTTGAGCAAAAGAGACCTCAAAGCCCACCCACACAGTGACACAAGTCCTCTAACAAGGCCACACCTTCTAATAATGCCACTCCCTTTGGGGGCCATTTTCTTTCAAACCACCACACAGGGCTACACAGTGAGACCTTATCTTGAAAAAAGAAACAAACAAACAAGCAACAACAAAAACAAAAAAGAAGTCTGGTTGATCATCTTCTCAATTCTGGTCCTTAGTACTCAAAGAGGTAGACCAGTTCCCATGAGATAACTACTCTTGTGTTGGGGAGATGTCATGGAGAGAGCTGCGAGGCTTTGTTGTTTCTAAAATCTAAGGTGGACTGCAGGTTTAAGACACTGAGTAGAGACTTGGAGCTCCCTTGGGTATAATGAGGAGGGGTGGCATCTGACAAGAAAATGCCTGTCTTATCTTTGTATTTTCATCCCAGAAGGGCGGTAAGATTGGTGTTTTTCATTCAATACAGTGGCTGCACCTTAAGTCATTGCTGTCCCAGCTCGCAATTGCAGCTCCGCAGCTCCCAACAGCGGTTCAGTCACACTGGCTGCAGCCAGGTGGGAATTCTATTCCCTCAGGCACAGATCTATCACTGCCACTAAAGGGAACTTCATCTAAATCTCTCTCCTACAGAACTCAGGATTCAAAGGTTGAGATGAAACCCTCCTGGGTCAGAGAGACTGAATAGCAAATAGCTAGCCTTCTCTCCTTGTTCCTGTTTCCCTCAAAAAGGGGCATCCTCCTTCTCAGCCCCCACTAAAGACCCTAGATACACTTAGGTCCTCCATCCCACTTCCTGTCAGCTAGTTGCTGACGCAACCTCCTGACCCCAGGTTAATCCAACAAATGTAATACGTCTTTGCATCTTTAACCAAAGTAGCAGAAACAAATGTAACGCACCTTTACACGGTTAAAATAATATTCCACAATATAAGACAGGCCAGGTACCACCCTTTGGTACTATGTGCTGAAGATAAGTGCAAAAGGAAGGTAGGGATGCCAAGTTTTCAATTTTGCTTTCAGTTATGTGTGGACCCAAGTGAGGAGTCAGAGCATTTTAACAAAAGTATCTTCTAGATACCCCTTGTATAACCTTGGTAGATTTCAGAAAAGAGCAGCCTCATGGTAGCTAGGCTTGGAAAAGGAGTGGACACAAGTGAGCCTTCAGCAATTGTAACATGGAGGGGGCCAGGCTGCTTGTTTGTTGTTGTCTTTGTCATCCCACCAGGTACCCCACAACTGTTTAGCCCCAAAGAAAATCACACATAGGTCTCTATAAGTTATAAAGCTGATTTGCCCATTAGCTCTAGCCTCTCACTGGCTAACTCTCACATCTTGATTAACCCATTTTTCTGATCTATGTTAGCCATGTGGCTCAGTACCTTTTTTCAGTGGGGCAGATCACATCCTGCTGCTTCAGTGGTCTGGGCATGAGTGGAAGGAATCAACTTCCTCCTTCCCAGAATTCTCCTGTTCACATTACATCATTTCTACTTCCTGTCTGGTTGTTCTGCCTATACTTCCTGCCTGGCCAATCAGCATTTATTTAAAACATGATTGACAGAATACAGACAATTCTCCCACACTAAGCAATGAACTTTATTAGGAGAAAGGACCTCATATCATCAGGTTTGACAGCAGGTGCCTTTACCCACTACGCCATCTTGATGGTCCTAGAGATTATTAATTGTCAGATTTAGAAAGATACGCATCACATTTTCCTTTATTTTTGCATCCTATATTTAATATAGACACATAAAGCCATGTATACTTATATGACACAAAAGTAGAAGGGAAACTGTAAGGAACTAATGGGAGGGCAGAGAAAGGAAACGTTAGGAAAGAATCAGCCCAGTGTCACACAAAGGACCACATGGACAAAGTGAAAGTTGGCAAGGCAATTCTTTTTGAAGAAAGGGTGTGCCAGAATACACAGCAACCTAACAAGCAGACTTGGCCAAGATGTTTTTTGTCTTTTATCCCTAACTTAGGTGGTGAGTGAGTCTCATACCATTGGTGGAAGCTTGGCTTCACAATCTGATGTAACTGGCCAACGGACGCAATGGGAAAGGGGGAGGATCTGGAAATATGTATTCCGGTAGGACTGTCTCTGATAGAAAGAACAACAACAATTTCTTACAGGGAAGACTAAAGGGGTGGGGGTGGGAATATGGTTAAAATACATGAACCCCAGTACTGTGTACCTTGATTATATGTTAATAAAAAGTGACTTGTTGAGTGAACAATTTAGAGCAACTTTCTAAGTGTTCCTACCTGGGTTTTCAGTTTATGTCAATTTCACACAAATTAAGACACTGGTGAAGAACTCAACTGAGGAATTTCTTCCATCAGACTGGCCTGTGGGTATGTCTGTAGGGCATTTTCTTGTTAATTGATTGATGTAAGAGGGCCCACCCCACTGGGGGTGGTATCAACCTTGGGCAGGTGGTACTGGTTTGTATAAACAAGCTGAGCAAGCCTTGAAAAGCAAGTCAGTAAGCAGCGTTCCTCCAGTAATCTCTGCTTCAATTCCTGCCTCCAGGTTCCTGCCTTGGCTTCTGTGGTTGGCCCCCTTAGAGAGTGGCATATTAGGAGGTGTGGCTTTGTTGGAGTTAAGTGTGGCCTTGTTGGAGAAAATGTGTCAAACTGGGCATGGGTTCTCAGGTCTCATACATGCTCAAGCCACACCCAGTGTCTCAGTTCACTTCCTGTTGCCTTTGATCAAGATTATTAACTCTCATCTCCTTCTCCAACACCATGTGTGCCTGGATGCTAGCATGTCCCACCATGATGATAATGGGCTAAACCTTTGAACTGTAAGCCACCCAATTAAATGTTTTTCTTTATAAGAGTTGTTGTGGTCATGGAGTCACTTCACAGCAATAAAACCCTAACTAAAACAAGGGTGCACAGGATTCCCCCAGACTGTGATAGCTCCTATCAATGCTCTTGATGGTCAAGACACAAGCATAACCTCAGTGATGGACCATAACCTGTAAGCCAAATAAATAAACCCTTTCCTCCCAAAGTTGTTTTTGATCAGTGTTTTATCACAATGAAAGGAGGCAAACTAGGACAATGACACTTAATCACTTGGGTGTTTGTTCTGTTCTTTGCTAGATTCCAAGTTCATTAACCAAGTTCATTCCAAGTTCATGCACGTGCAACACACACACATGGCAACAACCAAGGGTTGTTTCTTAAGTGTCCTTTCTCTGTTCCTACTGCCACATTAGCCACAGCAAAAGCACTCAGTTGTTAAGAGACTTGAGAAATCAGGATTATTAAAATTGAAAATGTCCCTTTAAGCCAGCCTACCCTTTTGTGATGCTAAAGTATCCCCTTTGTGAGTACATTCTTCTCTCTCAGCTAGACCAATTGCAGCTTTTAACCTGGGCTTTTCATTCCGAGCCTCTAGTAATCTTATTGCTATAATTTTCACAAGAGGAACACTAAAGCAATTTAATATTATTTTTTTAACCACAAAGA